TTACTTTCAGTAAATTAATAATTTTTCTTAAATAATCTTTTGTTTTTGACTTTTCAATATGCTCGCACCCCCCTTGTAGAGTTGCCACGCCCCTCAAGGGGGCGCGCCCCACAGTTTGAGAAACACTATTTTAAATCATTTAGAATTGACATCTGTGAAGTCTATAAAACTCGTAAGTCATATAATTTAAAAGACAGATCAATGTGAAGCCGAGGTTACAAAAAAATGACGTTCAACATTCATTTTGTAGCACAACTGAAAATTTTACTGCTTAGGCACAAGATATTTTTGCTTACAGTCTTGGAAATGTTGCATTCAAACTTAAAAAATTCCATTGCCTACGGTAATAATTGTTCTCATGATTCATAGAATTGAGAATCTTTGCCAAGTTCGAAGCTGAATATCTTAAGTGGAGGTTGCCCGATAGTTTCAAGGGACACTGAAAATGGTATCCAGATTTGTGGGACAAATTTCAAAGTGGTACTATTAGCAGAAAGATCGGTCAAGGGTACCTAGGAGTGACGCCACCTGTATAGAATTGCTACTTGGTATTAAATGATAGACGACATACTTAGACAACAGCTATAGATTTTTAGTGGGGCCTTGCTGCTGCGCTTGAGGAAAAATAGTTTAGGAGCAAACAATATTCAGACATCTAGAAAAGCTGACCCTTCATTTTCGGAGGTTCCGTGCTGTTTCTTAGCACATCACTAAGAACAGCCCGCTTGTTATGGAGCCGAACCGCCCATTCTTGTATGCTTGAAGAAACGGGCTTGAGCTTGTTTTCACTAATATCCAGAGTCTTTCACACAGAATGATCCCCGGCGAGTTTTAATCTGTAGAGAATGTATTGTTCACTGTTATCCCTCCAATGTAAAGAAACTCGACCAATATGACCGCAAATGAACCCTTGTGTGAGGTGACATCATGTTGGACAGGTATAAACTTCCCTTTTATAATGCGAATATCATTGCGTAGCGTTGTAAGGGTGAAAAAGCTTATTTTGATGTTTTTTCTTGGTGTTTTGCTAGTCTGGACTTTCTATTTATGGATGATGGCGCGAAGCCTAACTCAACTCACACTGTTGATGATTTCCTTGAAAAGGATATTCGCCATATGAAGAGGCCCAGGTAGTCTCAAGATGTTTGGTGTTTTATTTATAATTTTAATTGTATATTCGTAAATGGTGCTTCCTATTATTTCTGTCAGTTTGAAAAACAAAGACGCGTACATTTTATTTTCTATGATTTTGCAATGACGAACTTTTTTCTTGACAAAGTCACGAGTTTGCGGTTGACATTGTTGCAATCAATTTAACTCCCTATACCAGTACTTCTCAAACTTTCAATGTTTGCGACCCAATTTTCAATCATAATTTTCATCGCGCCCTCCTCCATACAATAATAATGTATTAGATTCAATAATATTTTGACGCCAAAGCTACAAGACGATTTTAGTTATGAACTGTACAAATTGTCAAGATTAGTATTAAATTTTGCATATAATTTTTATATGACAAGCCCATGGGGTCACTAGTAATTATTAAACATGTTCTTAACTTAGTATTGATGAATTAATGATCAAATACATTGTGCAGTGCTGATACATTTATATTATATCATTGTAGATGTGTATTTTTAGTCTTCTCAGAATGTATTTTGTTTTGTTTTGATTCCTTTCAGCAAATTAATAATATTTTGAAATCTTTTACTTTTGACATTTCGATATGCTCGCGTCCTTCTGACCGGATTATCATGCCCCCTTACGGGGGTGCCCCACAGTTTGAGAAACGCTTCTCTATACTTCTAAAGATCAATCCTGTGATAGGGATAGTTCACGTTAAATCTGTCTAGGTTCAACCTTTCATACTGTCAGAATATGAAAATTTACAGAAGTGCCTTCTTCCTTTTCACTTGATTATAGTACATAATTACAATGTTCGTTGCCTTTTTTTTTACTTTTCAGTATCACTTAAATCAGCGTTTCTCAAAATGTGGGGCACGCCCCCCTTGGGGGCGTGATAAACTTTCAAGGGGGCGCGAGCATATAAAAAAGTCCAGAATAAAAGATTTCAAAAATTGCAAATTTACTGATAGGAAGCAAAACGAAAACACATTCTGACATAATAAAAAAGTAAAATGCACATTTACATTGATATAATATGCATATAAATGTATCTGGACTGCATAATGCATTTGATAATTAATTTATCAATACTAATTTAAGATCAAGATTAATAATTAATAGTGACATTCATGGCCTTGTTCTATACAAAATTATACATAAAATTTAATACTTCTCTTGATAATTTGTTCGGTTTATAATTAAAGTCATATTGTAGCTTTTGCATGTAGCTTTTAGTGCGTTATTTTTAAAATCTATACATTGTTATTGTATGAAGGGGGGCGCGATGAAAATTATGATTGAAAATTGGGTCGCAAGTATTGAAAGTTTGAGAATCACTGACTTAAATAATAAATTAGTAATTTTGTTCGGAAAAAATATTTTCATTTTCAATGTTTCCATTTTTTATAAAAATTAGCAGTTAAATGCATATGCAACACTGTAAAAAAATTACAAAAACCTATTACTGGAAAGTAACTCAAGAATAAAATTCACAGCAAAGGTGAAGATTTTACCAAAGAAAGCTTTTAAACAATCATATTATACTTTAAAATATACCAAACCAACCAACCATACTGAATTCTTCTGGAAAAGAATTTGCATGTTTGAGAATTTCTCGCATTTTACTGAAAATATATCTCAATTCGTAAAGGAAAATGTAATTGTGTTACTTAAATAATTCAACCGAATATACATTATATACTACGAAGCGTAGTACTACTTCAAAATTGCAACATAATTATTTTAGTAAAGTATCATACACATTTACATTCTTAACATTAAGTTGGAGTGGAATATTTTAAATATGTAGAGTAAGTCATGCAATGCTGACAAGAACTTAGATTATATTCATTTATAGCCTTCTTAAATAATTTCCCTACATTTCAGAGGTCTCAAGAATAGTAATATTGTTTCATTCGGGCTTAACTGAATCAATGGCACTTTAAAACGCACTTTATTTTTTGTATTTTTTAAATACAGTAACAACACTTAATACATTCTATATTTCTTTACAAGTTTTATTGAATTATTGTTTGAAATATTGATTTATTAAAACATCTGGGGAGATAATAAAAAAGGACTTGAGTATGCAGATAGATTAAGAAAGGAAACAGATATATTTACTAAGGATTATTAAGCCCCTAACTACCGATTAAACATTATGGGGTTATAATAGTTCTAAAAGGGATTTGATATGTGTTGGTTTGAAATCAGTAAACATAAAAGAGTTATTTTGAAAATAAAACTACCCTTTTGTCGTCTTGAAGTTAAATTTCTAAAATCGTTAATTAACATTTTGCTATTAAGTTGACTGTTCAGTTGACTATATTAGAGTGTGCTGACTTTACTATTAGCAAAATAACTGTTAGTGTGTTGGGTATTATAAAATGCAAATATCTGTTAAATTTTTTTAGAAAAATACTGTCGCAAAAATTTATATTTTCAACTATTTTTTTAACAAGTAAAATTATTATCTAAAAAATAAAATCCACCTAAATTACAAATGAACTTGAAATAATCGTAAACTTTCTGGAAGAAAAGATATATATATTTAAATTTAAAAGAAATTTTACATCTATATTTTTATTATTTCTATTTAATTCTTAAATCCGTGTTTTAAAATATTTTATGACATTTTTTCTTTTTTAACGGATGTTTTGAGATACACATATGTAAAAAAATTGATTTTATATAGTTGAAAGCTCTCTTAACAAAGAATGTATGAAAATGAACAAAAAAAGACATTCTATTTGGTTAACACAAGGAAACAGTTATAGAAAAGTATTATTATATGTAAGATGATAATCAAATTTTTAGTGAAAAACATTAATTAAAACGTTTTTTGTTGTTTCTTATAACCCCCAAGCTTCAATATGAAAAAATATAGAAAAATTATTTTTAAAAACAAAAATTAATAAACAAATGCAAAAATTTTTATAACTTAAATTTTTAAATACGTTATTCAAAAAAATTATATCTAATTATTTAGCATATATTAATCACTAATTCATTTAGTAATATCTAAACATTTTTGAGGAAGAAAATAGACCAAATTGTTAGGTCGTAGAAAAAAAAAATTTAGACACATTAAATCTCATTTTATAAAGTCACATAGTTGATTTTTGTTAATTTTAAATAAAATTAAACCAGTTTTTGTAAATTTGTCTTACTATTTATCATCATGCAAATTTCGAAAAGTAAAAAGTCATAAAATTGTTGTAGAGAAGATATTTAGGGCAAAACAACCGAAACATTTCACATTAAAAAGCAAAAATAGGGCGCTTTCATGTTACATCTATCTTGTCATAAATTACCCCTGCCTCTTCGTGATTATTCTTACCCTAAAACTGTCTAGGCTATATTTTAAACTTCTTTCGGTGTCATATTTTTGAAAAAATATTTCTGTATATCATGCAATGTTGTTGATGAACATAAAAATAACATTTGGATATATGAAAGTAAAGATGATTTAATGAAGTACAATGATATGATATTAAAATAAAATAAATATCTCAGCATTTTTCGTGAAAATATGCCGTAATTTTTTTTTTTTACTCAAATGAAACATTACTTAAAGTTTCTTTAGTACATTTAATTCTTTTCTATTTGTGTAACAGCTTTTTTTCATTTTACGGTTTAACGAATTTTTTAATATAAATAAATAAAAATAGTAGAGCCAATAAATATTTGTCGTTATGTGTTTTCTACAGGGATACTTACGAAAGATAGATGAACAGAGATATATAACACAAACGAATATAGAATTTTCATTACAAATGATGACCCTAGCAAAGAACAGAAAGGATGCGTTGCTTTCCATTCGAGACGGGAATCCATTTCAGGTATAAGTCCGACTTCTTTTCCCGAAGATACACCTTTGCCTTCAGGATTCGAACCCGAGCCCACTCGGTTACAAGCCGAATGTCATAACCACCATACTTTGTCATTAATAATACATAGTGCAGAAGGGAATCGAGTTACAAGATAAAATTAACATAATTTTTTAAAAAAATGCAAATATATACTTATGGTTTGAATTTTTACATGTAATTTTTCCTCCAAATTTTTTCTATAGAATTTTTTCTTCTTAATATTCCTTTCTATGAGAGAAGCATTAATGTTCTCTCTTCATAATTTCATTTTACTTTACTGTCTGGTTTATCATCCACGTGTGTTAGAAATAGGTTTAACTTTTCAACATGGCTCTGTTTTTTTTTCTATTATGTCAAAAATTTCTGCTGTATGGGGAAAGTTGGTACCATAAAGCGGCTTAACCCTAAATAGCAGCCTAATTCACTGACAGCTTTAGAAATCATAATGGATCTCAATTTTAGTTCAAAGATTCTTTTTGTAGCTTCATTTGTTATGCCTCTTGAACTCCAATTTGTTTCTTCTTTGGCTTTGTAGGTTAAACAACTTTTTCAATTGGTATCTTATTTTATTTTATTATATTAAATATGCACACACACACACAAACACACACATATATATATATATATATATATAAATATACAATTATAAATACATAATACACAATACAAATTTAAATTTCTAAATTTATGCTTCGACTACGGACATTTGAGTAAAGGATTTACTGTGAATAGTTTTCCGTTATTTGCTTAATACATTTTATCTGAATTATGTTCAAAATATGCTACAAGCTGTAACTAAATTATAAGGTGCACATGTGTGGATTAAATATATAGCATTCATTACAATGTATTAAAAACATTACACAGGATAAAATGGAAAAAAAAAAGTGATGATTAGAAATAAGATATTACGAAAGAAACAAC